CACAAATCATTTATCACTTTATTTAAGGCCATTCCTCAGTGAACCAATCCCACCATACAAGAATATGTCACTGAAGCGTACTACCAGGACGCCATTATCGGATCAAATCCGTCAACTGAAATCAGAATTGAGCTTTGGTGAGCAGTGCTCTATATTTAAAAAATTGGAATAAATGATATTCGTAAATTTTGGGTATCAGCACTTTTTGTAGATCTACATTTCGCAAATTTGAGGTTACCAAAGGTAACTTTCACTTCTACCACCCTGTAATCGAACTTACATTCAAGACTTTAAAAAAACTTAATTGAAAAGTGACTGCACATCGCGAGCTGGCACTTGGACTGTTTTTCTTATAAAGGAAAACTTTAAAAATATGTTCATATGGAACTAAAACCTTAAATGCTGCAAGAATACTTTTCACCATACAAGCAGATTTCCCATTAAGCAAGGCGCGAGGTGTGTGGATCGGAATTTGTGTCAGCAAAAAGTGTTTATTACAAAAATCGTAAATCGGTTTCGAAATGATTGTGTGCCTAGTCATTGTATTTATATCCTATGTCCATATAAGGTCTTTTCCGGGAATTTTCTCGCTCATGAGTAATTTGCCAGCAGTGCAGCACGTCATCAGCTGAATAGCGTTAACTAGCCCATAAGACAACCACCTGTTCATTGCTAATTAACTATATAAATACATCAGAACAAATTCGAAAAATTAAGAGGAACAGGCATAGGAAAGCTCGTATTTCTCGGAAATTTCCCGGCAACAATAATGTATTGAACCCTAAAGGATCTGATTTTTAACTTATTTATATTTGCTTTTCTTATTTTCGCTATTGCATTGCAGCATTTTTAAGTTAGAGGGAAATTAACAGCAAATTTTGCTATACTTGATTTTTCGAAGGCGTTCTGGTATTTCTGTATGGTTTACTTCTTATTAAAATTTGAATTTTTTGATTTTTCAGTATATTGAAAAATGCGCTCATATCTTTAAAATCAACGTTTGCATTCTACAGAATTAGGTACACGTGAAGTGCTTCGTACAGCTACTTGTGATTCTGCCTTAAATGATGTTTGCTTGCGGCATGTATCTTGTCGACAGCTATGGAAATTATTTCGGTCAAGTTGTGGCGTTGATCAGGATAATCGTTGCACTATGGCTGATCGGTAAGTCTTTAAGAGTTTTGGACTCTTCTATTGTAGAACTTCAAAAAGTTCTAATTGTAAATGTCTTACAGAGATACCTGCTGGCAATCTTTCGAGGGTCTTTCATGGACAGGTCTAGGAAATTGTCATTGTGACTCGGATAATTCGGATTGTCACTGGATCCGACTGCATACGAATTACAATAAATGCATTCGTAAGTTATGAAATTCAGTTGTTGTCATTTAATTGCTTTGTCCTAAATTTTCTATCCTTTTGAATTTGTTTTTATTTAAAAATATCCAATTTTTTTCTAGACGATATTGCTGCATCCGGACAAATTCCGCGAAGTATCCATGCTTCCGGAACCCATGCTCATCAAGCTCACCATCATCATCAACATGAGCGTAGACCACAGGTTAAATATGTGGAACCAGAGGATACCCGTCGTATAGCTCCAGCGGTAGTAGCACCACCAGCAGCACCGATCACTTCAGCTCCTACCGCAAGTAGTACCACATCTACTACAACATCTACTACAACTACTACAACAAGTACTACTACTACTAGTACTACTACTAGCACGACTAAGCCGCCGAGAACGAGAGCCAACGGGTATTGGAATTTTATTTTATTGATCCCCCCAAAATTGTTTTATCTGTTG